ACACCAGTGTTTTAATCCACGTTAACCAACCCTTGGAAACTTTAATATGGCATTAGAACATACTGAAAACCCCATTTATACATTCTAACAGGATTTGAAATCTCCAAAATCCAACCCTTGTAGCCCAAACGGTTGCCGAAACATAAAAAACTGGGAAAACCTTGAAGGAGCCGGCTCCAAACAAGTTGGAGCCGCCTCCAAACAAGATGGAGCTGGCTCCAACTCACTTGGAGCCGCCTCCAAACAACTTTGACCCGGCTCCAAAATATTTTGGAGCCGCCTCCAAATTCCTCCTCTCCTCTCTGCTTCTTCTCTTTAACTACGTCTTCTCCGGTGACGTCTAGTTTGATCAGTCCTTAACTCCAATGATTTCTACTGATTAAAATTAAGTTTCAATATCCCAGATATTGTAAAAACCATTAATCCTAGATCCACTCTAATTAGAACAAAGTTCTACAAGAAAGAATTTAAGATAAACAAAAACGAACATTCAACCATATACCGTTATCGACGAACCTAAACATGCAAACCAGATTAATATCTTCCGGTATTACAAGCTAATTTAACTCTGTTTATATCCATTCACATGCATTATACATCCAGTTCTCTGAATTAGTTTATGAGTTAAACATGAAAGATCATAAAACAAGTAGTATAGTCATGGCTTTCTTCAGTGAAAAATACAAAGACATATAATCCAGTTTAAGTTCGATTCTTATTTAATCCTGGAGTTGAATTAGACATGCAAAGAACACAAGTCAATGGGATAGAGTTAGGATTAGAACTTACCTTACACCGACGTCTTCCTAAATTCTCCGGTGAACACTCTGTTTGCCTTTTTCTAGTCTCCCTTTGCCTCCACCAACGTCCACCAACGTGAACAGGGTTCTAAAACCCTAGGCAGAACCTTAATCATATATTTATAGGCTAAATAATATGAGGTTCAATTAAACCCTAACTAACTTACCCGGCCCATAAACCAACCTATGATATAAACATGTCGGCTACATAAGTGACATGTATTAAATAGCTAAACCCTAACCTAATTTAATAACCTAATCTTAAAACAGTGAAATTTAAATAGAATACTACAATAAACAATTTCAATAGCACACAATAAGACAAATAAGTCACACAGAACACGTACACATCAGTTACATTCAAATATCAATTAATAAATGCAAATCAATAATTAATTAATTTAAATAAACACATCACATAATTCAAATGTCACACATAGCCACATAAGCACCTAAAAATAATAAAATAAATACTGAAAATAATAAAATAAATAAAAAATTCCGATTATATCCCTTTTAAAACTAGGGGTATTACAATAAATGAGTCTAAACTTATTAGCCAGCTTACATGGTTCTATATGGCAACACATCCATATAATATAAGTGCGACTTTTTTTTATTAATCAGCCCACTTATCACCTAAAATGCACACAACATAATAATAATGATTAATATCATTAACAACTTAAATCAATCCATAGTGTATACTGGACAACTAATATGATTAAAATCATACAATCTCAGAAATTAACATTAATGATTAATACCACTAAATAAAATAATAACACAATTAATATTTACAATAAACATTAGTTAAATTAAATCTGCTTAATATAAATAGGCAAATTAACCATGCCAGTAGGAAATTGTGAAATTGTATTTATTAGCTAGTCCACTATGGTTACAAAACCATAATATGATAATTACCAATTATATCTGTATTACAAAATAATCATAATATGCTTAATAGCATATAACATAACCCGTAAAATATTTACGATACTCATACCAATGCCTCATACCTTAAACACAGACCAAAATAATAACCGCGTCTAAATATACTGTAAAAATAATATAATAACATTCTACGACTCTCAAAATACCACAAACACATTATCTAATGGTTGATTTCCACACTAACATTCTTGAAGGAAAATCATCGGGCTTCACAGAAACTTTCCCGGACCCTGCACGCATCGCCACGCGTCATCACGCACCACCACACGCGCCTACACACTGCACGTGTTTCCACGCGCCTACTCTCACTAGCAGGCGCGTCCACGCGCTTTCACGTGCCCTCATGCGCCTATCATACTCTCGGCTTGTACTGGTAACTTTTGATTGGTTGTTGTCTTGTGCTCTGGTAAGCCGCGCCATACTGGATAACAATTCCGTTGACTAGACCGCATCAATGGTCAAGATATATATACGCACCATTTTGCTATACACCGCGCAACACCGAATCAATCTATCAACATAATTAAATATCAGCGGTTCAGATTCACACGCACACCATAATTTAATACACTATGCCGCACTGAATCAATTCGTCACTTATCAAACCATCGGTTTCTGATCCGCGTGCACATGAGCACCATATACACCGCGCCACTCCAGATTACAATTATTTATTTTAACTTCAAAAATTATAAAATAATTCTAAAAATATAGGAAAATTCCAGAAAAATCCCAAAAATTTAAATTAACATTTTTGGGTACAATTGAACATATAAGATGATTTTAAAAATCATATAATATAATTTAATCAAGCAAACAAAGTTAAATCTAACTTTTAAAATTTTAAAAAATTAAAATTTAAAATATCCAAGTAGCACACATACATCTATATAAATATACAGATAATTAATTCCACATAATTGTAAAGAATACACATGCTCATAATTAACATATATAATGATTTAAAAATTCATGTAGTATAATTAATCATGCGAAATGAAATTAAAACCAATTTACACAAATTTTAGAATGATATCATCCTAACAACACATACATATATACACATATTTAAATCTATAAATTTGCAAAAAATAAACATGCTCATAGAATTTAATTAATAAATTATTTTAATCCGCAAAATAAAATAAAACTATAATTTTATTTTAAACCTAAGTGATAGGCTAAACTAACAACTATAATTTTGATAAATCAAGGTGAGGCTTATAAATTCAAAGGGGGTAGAATAAAGTATAAACTTGCTTTAAGGATATGAAATAAATCCGAAATACAACATAGTCGGAAAAATTGCTCCTCCTTGGGTCAAAGGCTTCTTCCTCTCTCTCTTTGCCAAACAAACTCTCTGTTTCTATGTTCTAACTTATCTTCTCACTTCACGCAATACTCTCCATTCGTAGACTACTAACTAACCATCGTATATAAACTAATATATTATATAAATAATAAAACTATCTAACTTTACTTAAAAAATCTAACTTTACCACTAACTTTAAATCATATCTAACTTTAAATAACATATCTAACCATTCCTATCTAAGAACAAGACTTGCCAACTCACCGGTGAGTTGGTCATCCTAACTTACTGATTATTTATTACTATTTATTATTTTTCTGATTTTGTAATTACGATTCTTTTGGACCATATTAGCGGTAAGTAGGGATGACCTACTCACCGGTGAGTCATTTTCCTGATTTTGTAATTACGATAATTTTGGACCACATCAGCGGTAAGTTGGGATAACTTACTCACCGGTGAGTAGGCAAATCTTGTCCTAAAAAAAAAAAAAAAGGAGGAAGAAAAAGGGAAATTCTATTATGAGGTTGTTGAGGTAGTCGGTATTATTTTATTATTTTATGGACAAGATTTGCTTACTCACTGGTCCGTAGGTCATCCCTACTTACTGCTGATGTGGTCCAAAATAATCATAATTACAAAATCAGGAAAACGATAAATAGTGATAAATAATCAGTAAGTAGGGACGACCTAAGTCGTCCCTATTTATCGCTGATGTAGTCCAAAATAATCGTAATTAAAAAATCAAGAAAATTATAAATAGTGATAAATAATCAGTAAGTTGAGATGACTTACTAACCGGTGAGTAGACAAGTCTTATCCTTATTTTATTACTCCCCTTCTAGTATGAAGGGGAGTAAACGATTTTCATACTAAAAGACAAAAAACAATTTGTTGAGTTCCTATATAGATTCATAGTTAAAAAATAAAATAAAAAAGGGAGATTCTATTATGAGGTTGTTGAGATACTGAGTATTATTTTATTATTTTATGGACAAGATTTTCCTACTCACCGGTGAGTAGGTCATCCCTACTTACCGTTGATGTGGCCCAAAATAATCGTAATTACAAAATCAAGAAAATGATAAAAATAGTGATAAATAATCAGTTAGTAGGAATGACCTACTCATCGGTGAATAGGCAAGTCTTGTTCTATTTTTTTTTTAAACTCTGAATCCATATAGGAACTCAACAAACTCTTTTTTGTCTCTTAGTATTAAAACCATTTATTGACAAACTTGCCTACTCACAGGTGCGTAGGACATCTCACTTGCTAATTATTTATTACTATTTATTATTTTCCTGATTTTGTAATTACAATTATTTTGGACCACATCGGCAATAAGTAGGAATGACCTACTAACCGCTGAGTAGGCAAATCTTGTCGATAAAATAATAAATAAATACCGACCACCTCAACAACCTCATAATAGAATCTCCCTTTTTCGTCGTCCTTTTTCTTTTTCTTTTTCTTTTTCTTTTTTTAACTATGAATGTATATAGAAACTCAACAAACTATTTTTCGAGTATGAAAACCATTTACTCCCCTTCTTACTAAGTAACAAAATAAGGACAAGACTTGCTTAACGGGTGAGTAGGTCATCCTACTTACTAATTATTTATCACTATTTATTATTTTTTTGATTTTGTAATTACGATTATTTTGTATCACATCAACGATAAGTAAGAATAACCTACTCATCGATAATCAACATCCTCATAATAGAATCTTCCTTTTTCTTCCTCCTTCCTTTTATATTTTTTTTGAACTATGAATCCATATTCAAACTCAACAAACTCTTTTTTGTCTTTTAGTATGATAACCGTTTACTACCCTTCTTACCCACCAAAACTCAAAACACCAGCGATTACTGCAGAGAGAGAAAAATAACTAGCATTATTAAAGAACAAGAGAGAGTGAGAGCTTGGTTATAAATACCCATGCCATCTTCCTTTTTTTATGCACAGAACTCTTTCTTCATTTCCTTTCTAGACAGCTCTTTCTCGGAGTTTGGTTCCTTCCAAAAAGCTAGAGGTGAGTAAATGAATATTTATTCTTTATTTTCATCATTAACTATGTATATATACACACATATAGTGAGAAAAACGCTTTCTTTCTTTTTTTCCTAATTTGACACAGCTTACTTTCTCCCCCATCAGAATCTAAACTTTCGCCCCTTCCACTTTAGTAGGCAATACTATGAGAAAGTCGATTTAACCTACATATATATAGGCAGCAATATTTATTATTTTATTTTTATTTATTTGTTTTTCAATAGTAAAATAAACACACAATTCAGTATATTTTAGGGAAAATTACATATAAATGGAGTTAAAGTTTCATATTTACTTAGAGACTGAGTCAAAGTTCTATATTTCTCTAAAATGGATTGCTGAGGTGGCACATGATTTTTTACTGTTTAGAAAATTGTGGTGCCTAAAATGCCATTCCCTAACAAAAAAGTAGTACCTTCAGTTCAAAAAAGTAGTACCTTCAGTTCAAAAAAGTAGTACCTTCGAAGAAAAAGTAGTACCTTCGCGGGTGTTTAAAAAACATGGTACCTGGACACCAAAAAGTAGTACCTTCAGTTCAAAAAAGTAGTACCTTCGAAGAAAAAGTAGTACCTTCGCGGAAGGGTATTTTAGGCACCACAATTTCTAAACAGTAAAAAACCATGTGCCACCTCAGCAATCCATTTTAGAGAAATATGGAACTTTGACTCAGCCTCTAAGTAAATATGGAACTTTGACTCCATTTATATGTAATTTTCCCTATATTTTATCCTTACTTCATCAGGACTCAAACACTTAACACCCTTTGATTATGTGGTATCACCGGTGTAGAGAAGTCTATATTACCTTTGAGAAATGAGAACTTTTTAGAATCTATTTGACATAGCTTGCAATTGAGGAAAAAATATATATCACCCACTAAGAGCCAACAAATATTTCATGTATAATTAAATGTTATTTATTTATTTATTTTTTGGACGAGATGCACACACTAATTATGTAGTCGAATCTTAAAAGATTAGGACATGAGCTAAAGTTCATTTTAGGTATCCATCTTCAGCGAAGAAGCCTGTGCAGTACTTTTCCTTAAATGGCAATCATAGACACTTACAGTCATGCACAAACGATATTATGTATATATATAAATATATATATAGAACTTTGATATGACTTTCTCATGCAAACTTGATTTGCTGTTACAGTTATCCACAGCTTCAAGGGCAACATGTCGTATATCAATGGCTGTTATAACATAGGCAACCTGGTAACAGGATACGTCGGGAGTGGCACTGAATTTAAGCCCATGTTTGGATGCAAAGGACAGGGTGCAAAGGACAGGGTGTATGAGGTGATTAAGTTCGGGCCTTATGGAGGCAACAAGGGAATTATTTTCGATGACGTCATTGACAAGGTGAAGGAATTGGTGAAGGTGAAGAAATTAACAATATTTACCGATAATGGTATTATCAAGTCCTTCGAAATTGAATATGAATATAAAGGAATCTCAAAACCGATTAAGCACGGTGGTGAGGGCGGAACAGCTTCTGAGGTAAGTCCATTAGAATATCTCAATATATTTTTCCGGGTAAATATTACCATTTATCCCATAAAAAGTATCCAACTTTTCATTTTTATTTTTAGTTGTTTCAAAATAATTGTCCCAATTGAAAAATTAATATATTATTTTCTTAATATTATCAATTTAACCTTCTTGTATTGAATTTATAAAAAGTAAACCCACTATTAATATAACAAAAAACTATCATCTTAAAAAGTTACATTTCCAAAAAGAATATTGTGGCACGGAGAGAGTACTAAACAATGCATGACAAAATATATATATATATATATATAGTAGTCGTAGTAGTACTGATCTTTTGCCAAGGGCGAGTAAGAAACTTTGTTGATCAAGTTTTATCCTTTTTTATTAATTGGAATGTTCTTTCTTACAGCCGGCAAAGCTAGGGGATTCGGAGTGTCTGATCTCAATGACAGTGTGTGTTGGAAAGAGTGGTGATGATGATGTTGTGACAAGTCTTACATTCAAAACCAATTTGGGTAATCAATTTGGACCATATGGTAAACCAACTGAAACTTCTTATACATCCCCAACAGGTCATGGCAATATCATTGGGTTCTTTGGCAGAAGTGATGAATATGTGAACCAGATTGGAGCATATTTTTTGAAAGAGATCAAGCCATAGTTAAAATTTGGACATGATCGATCATTGGTTTCTTTATAATTAATATTATAATAAATAAACTGCATTCCATGGGATCGATGGATGCAGTTTTCTGTGTTGTCCTTGAAGCTTGCTGAAAGTGTGGTTCAATAAAATATGCGTGTATTTTGTGTAAGATTTGTGTTATTCATTCTCAGGTTTCACTTATAAATAATTAATACATGTTTATATATATATATATATATATATATATATAGTGGTTCTACTTACCAAATTAGAAACTTTTTTTTTCCCACTCAACATTTATTGATATGCTAAACGTCAAGATACATCAGGAAAGGCTTAATTGTTAATTCCATCCCAAAGCACACCCCACATCATTCTTTAATACCAATGCTTCTGTTATTGAATTGAACAAGGACATGGTAACTCTAATAGGAATTCTCCATAATCTTGTTCGTTCTAAGAAGTAAAGACTTTAGGCTTTCTGAGAGCTTTCAATATATTTGGTTTGATATATTCTCATATGACATTAGGTTTATCTTGTAAAATATATCAATAAAATGAAAGCTCTGTTTTTTTTAGGGAACTTCTATTTATGCTCAAAAATTATACTAAGGCGCTCTATTTCTATATCATTTTTTTTTTTTTTTTTAAAATTCAAGATAAATATATTAAATAAATAAGGTACATAACAGCCCAAGAGGTTAGCCCATTGCTAACATCAAGAAGGACTAAACCAAAGGAAACAGTACAGCCCAAGAAGGCTTAAGATAATACAAAATGTGTATGATGAAACATCAACACAGCAGACCGGTGTTCATGGAGCAAATCCCCAACAGTGCTAATTTTTGCTTAGGATGCAATGTCTGGAGGCTTCTTTGGAGGACGGATCACTGATTGAGGAAGCTCCCAGTTCACAACAACCCTCCTAGTATTGAGCGAATCTGAAATTGTGGAAGTGAGTAGCTTGGATCGAATGGTTTCCAGAGTGCTATGGAGAACAGAATTGGCATGAGATGCTTTCTTCTTGAAAATTCTGCTATTCCTTTCAGTCCATATATGGTATACCAGTGAAGCTAAACCCAATTTGGATATAGTAATGTTATGAAACTGAGAGTTGTCTCGCCAGTGATATGATGCCCATCCAAGATGAAGGTTGAGTGTAAAACCCACAACGTGCTTGTAGAAAGTGCCACAAGGGTTTAACAAATGAACAATCAAAGAACAGGTGGTCATGAGACTCGGGTTCACTATTGCACAGAATGCACATTGAAGAGTTTATATGCACTGTGCATCTTCTGTTTAGAGTTGGAAGCTTATGTTGAATTGCAACCCACAGTGTAAACGAGTGATTAGGGATGGAAGGCTTGAACCAAACCATATGAGTCCATGGTAGGGTTGGATATTGCTGATTAAAGTGCTTCATTGTTTTTGCTATGGAGAATTGGGTGGATTTAGATGGGATCCAGATAAACTTGTCACTACAGGCAGGGTTGGGTTTTGGAAGTGAGGATACTGGTAGAAGCAGAGGCAATAAGTTCAAGATGGCATCTGGAATGGTCCATGTGTTATTAAGGATGAATGTGCTTACTTTGGTCCTACTATCAAATCCAGTTGTAGCAATTTGTTGAGGAGACAGATGCTGATGCAATGGACCAAGATGGCACCAAGTGTCAAACCAGAAATTGGATGAAGTACCATCACCAATTTCTATCTTGACAAGTGGTTTGATTGAGTCTCTAAGACCAAGCAATCTTCTCCAAGTCCAGGAACACTGCCCAGGCACTTTAACCTCCCAAATACTTCTGCCCTTGAGTAGATAGGTATGTATCCATTTAACCCAAAACATGTTTTTTGAGCTAAGAATATTCCAAAAATGCTTCATAACTGCACTTTTATTCCATAGATGCAAGTTAGGTAGACCAAGGCCCCCTGCTTTCTTTAGAACACAACATTTATCCCATGCTACCTTAGCACCTGTCTTTTTAAGAACTGGCCCAGACCACAAGAATGCACCAAAAATGCTTTCAAGTTCCTGTAGGATACTTACTGGGAGAGTGAACTTAGAGCTCCAGTACATTTGTGTAGAAAATAGGATAATTCTAATGAGCTGTAGTCTACCTGCAAATGATAGATTCTTGCTTGTCCAGTGTGCAATCCTGGGTGATATTATATCAATTAAGGACCTGCAGTCATAGGCCTTGAGCATTTTGGTTATCAAAGGTACACCAAGGTACCTCACAGGTAGAGATCCTTTCTCAAACCCCAAAGTTTCAAGTATAGCAGTTTCCAGTTGAGAGTTCACCCCAGATAGGAACACATGACTCTTGGTATGGTTGATTTGAAGCCCAGATAGAGTGTGAAACATTTCAATGGCAGATTTTAAGGTTTGAATTGATGGAATACTGCCATGGGAGAGCAACATTAAATTATCTGTAAATATAAGGTGGGAGAGTCCTAATTCTTTGCATCTCCAATGAAATTTGAAAGGTTTCTCAGCTATAAGTTTGTCAAGGATGGAGGAAAAGCATTGCATAACCACTGTAAAAAGGAATGGAGAGAGGGGGTCACCCTGCCTCAGCCCTTTGACATTTTTGAAGTGACCACAAAGTTCTCTATTGATGGAGACACTAAAGGAAGGAGTGGAGACACATGCTTGAACCCAACCCAAGAAGATTGGAGGAAAGCCAAGTAGTTTAAGGGAATTAAAAAGGAAATCCCAACAAACTGAATCAAAAGCTTTCTTAATGTCAATTTTAATTGCACATCTTGGAGAAGGAGCAGACCTATGATAGCCATTTAGTAGTTCTTGGGCAAGCAGGATAGAATCGTCAATGCTTCTACCATGTATGAATGCTGACTGTGCTGGACCAATGATATGGGGTAGCGTAGGCTTGAGCTTGTTGGCTATTAAAGTGGATATAAATTTATAAATTGTGGTGCAATAAGAGATGGGCCTGTAGTCATTAAGGTTTGTTGGGTTAGGGGATTTAGGGACCAATGCAATGTAAGAAGTATTGATCTCTTTAAGTAGCTTGCCATTCATGAAAAATTGCTTGATGGCCCTTGTGACATCCTGTCCGATGACTGGCCAAGCTTTCTTAAAGAAGAAAGCATTATAGCTATCAGGCCCTGGAGCCTTGTCACTGTTGATTGAAAACATACATTGCCTAATTTCCTCATCTGAGGGAATAGAGCAAAGGGATGGAAGAAAATGTTGTGGTAAGACAGGTTGAATAAATGGTGATAGGTGATTCATACCTGGATAAGGATGAGGATTCATCCCCAATGCATTTGTAAAATGATTGATGATCTCAGTCTTGATGGTGTCCTCAGTGTCTAGCAATGTACCAGAATTGGAAAGCAAGGATGTAATTTTATTTCTATTGTGTCTAGCAGCAATTGATTTGTAGAAGTAAGCTGAATTTGAGTCACCCTCCTTGAGCCACAAAATTCTTGATTTTTGTCTATAGGATTGCTCCTCAGTTGTGCAAAGTTTGGTGTATTTAGCAAATAATTCCTTCTCTTGTAATCTTAGATCAGTGTTATCAAGTTTGGAGTCAAGAGCACGGTGACAAGAGGTGAGGAGGTCCTTTGCATTTTGAACCTCAACCTTAATTGCATCAAAGTTTGTAGAGAATGAAACCTTTAAGGGTTGTTTGAGGCTCTTGAGTTTGGTAATAACTTGGAACATGGTGCACCCCTCAACATGCTTATTCCAACGGGATTGAAGTAAAGGAAAGAAGTTCTCATTTGCAGCCCAACAGTTGAAAAATCTAAAAGGTATTTTCCTTTTTAGGCTAGGGTTGCCAAGCTTGACAATCATTGGACAATGGTCTGAGATGCCTGCTGGAATGAATTGGCAATGGGATAGAGGGAAGGTGTGGTTCCAAGAATCGTTGATCAAAACCCTATCTAGTTTTTTGGAAATGTTGGCCACCCCAGGGCTCTTGTTGGTCCAAGAGTGGTAGATGCCTGAAAAATTGAGATCATCTAGGTTTGCAGTGTGAAGGCAATTCTTGAACTCCAGCATAGCTTTTGTGGTCTTCTTGGAACCTCTAAAACATTCTCCAGCTGATTTAATAACATTGAAATCCCCTCTAAGTAGCCATGGTGAGGATGAGAAGGCAATGGCATGCCTTTCAATATTGTTCCATAGATTAATTCTGTTAACAGCATCATTTGCACCATATATAAAGGAAGCATAAAATGTGGTGCGGTAGGATAAGATGGTAATGTAGCAATGGATTGCCTGGCTTGAACTTTGAAGAACTTGAAGATGAATTGAATTGGGATTCCACAATACCTAAATTTTGCCTAGATGACTAATTATTGTGTGCCAAGCACCAATTTTGAGCCATAGCTTTGTGAACTGCAGCAGTGTTAATTGACTGAACTTTAGCCTCTATGATGACAGCTATGTCCACCCCAAAATCTCGAAGAAGTTTTCTAACCTCAGACTATTTTAAGGGATCATTTAAACCCCTTATATTCCAAATAGCTACTGATACCATTGGATGGTGTTGACGAAACTACCACTGGGAAGAAGGTTCCCTCTTTGGTGACCTGTAGGCTTTTTGAGTGAGAATTTTTTTTCCCCTTACCCTTGCTGCTAATTTTGGGTTTGACCTTGTGTAGATCTGCTGGAAGACTTATGGTTGATTCAGTTTCAGAAAGTGAACTCTCTGGTTCCACTGGTTCCAAATGGTAAGCTGAAATAGAGCAGTTAAGTTTGGTTAGGGATGAGTCTGAACAGTTAGTTACAGGTGTTTTCATATTGTCCATGTTTGCAGGTTTGTAGGGGCTAAGATCAATAGTGAAGTTCTCATTGGGCTTAAAGTAGTGAGTGATAATAGTTTGCCCAGGGTGGATTGGTAAGTTAGGTAGTGGGGAAATTGATGTAGAAGGGGAGTGGGGAGTGCTTGTATTAGTTTTCTTGAAGGGAATAATTTGCCAACCCTTTGTTGTTTGTGGTTGTGCTCTGTTGGATAAGGTGTGACAGGTTTTGGAGGTGTGACCAAAGTGCATACATGAGTAACAAATGGAAGGGCAATTGATGTATTTGACAGCAACATTTGCAATCTTCCCACTACTCATGTGGAGCTTAAGAGTAAATGGAAAATCATCAGAGGCCTTGACATTGACGCACACCTTGGCAAATCTGGTTTTCTG